CGGGCCTCTCACTGTTGTGGCCTCTCCCGTTGCGGAGCACAGGCTCCGGACGCGCAGGCTCAGCGGCCATGGCTCACGGGCCCAGCCGCTCCGCGGCACGTAGGATCCTCCCGGACCGGGGCACGAACCCGCGTCCCCTGCATCGGCAGACGGACTCTCAACCACTGCGCCACCAGGGAAGCCCTAATTGTGTGTTATTATTTATGCTTCTGTGCCAACTGAAATGTTATGTTTGTAGCCCAGTAGGACATAAGTAAGAGATAAGTGAGCCTTTTTTTTTTCTTTATTGAGTAGAAATCGGCCTTGTGGCCTTCAAGTCACATTATAAAGGGCCGCTAGAAACAGGCCTGCCTCGGGGGCTGAGGCGAGACCTAGAGAAGCAGCTAGAAGTGGCAAACAGCCCCGTCAGAGGCGGCCTCTCCCAGCCTGGCTGCTCCGCAGGGTGTCCACAGTTGTCTTTTGAAAAAGACCAGCTGTCAAAGTTCCTCCTGTTCACAGTCTCCACGTTTGGGCTCCAGGCAATTTAATTTAATTTTCTTCACAGGAGATGTTATTGTGAGAACCACGGATTTCATCCCATCCGTCGTCTTCCACATGAGGAGACCGAGGCTTTCCATGAGCTGCCCACCATCTCCCCGAGAGCACCAAGGGTCCCCTCCTCACCCACTGCTCTCTCTCCTACCCCTCTTTGCCTCCCTCTGTGTTCCTAATGATGCTGTAGACAAATCTGATTTTAAATAGTGATTTCTCTACTTGTAGGAATGCACACAAAATTGGGCTTAAAAAAGGAAAAAAAAGAACCTGAGCCCAGTCTTCTACTCTAGAAAAATTAGCCTTACAACCCGTGTTTTCCAGTAAGACGGAATCTGGTCCTGAAGAGCTGTCATTCCAGCTCTGCCCTGTTCCTGCTGCAGAGCAAGTTGGGTCATCTTGACTCTGAGAACTTCATCTTTTTTTTTTTTTTCTTTTTTTTTTGGCCGCGCCGCACAGCTTGCGGGATCTTAGTTCCCTGACCAGGGATTGAACCTGGGCAGTGGCAGTGAGAGCACTGAGTTCTAACCACTAGATCGCCAGGGAAGTCCCAGACTTTCATCTTTTAAATAGTGACAACGGTACCCACTTTGCGAGACTTCTGAGAGGAGGAAAAAAAAGAAGGTAAATGTCAGCATTTAAAACAGAGTTGCATACTTTGCATCTGCCACAATAACTGCTTTCTGGTAAGGATGAAAGCTTTGCAAACCATGCCTTTACGTATCCTCAGCGTCGTGGGCAATTTTCACTGGATATTATTTCACCTTGAGCTGCTGCTAGGTTAACTGCCTACCAGCTCTACTCCAGAAAACAGAGCGTGAACTTATAGGCTGCATTCAGTAACTTCCATCGTTCTGCAGTCAAGGGAGAGGAACGATAAAGGATGGAGTGAGGTCCCGGAGGAATTAGAGGAAGTAGGTTTTCCAAAAATAAGTAGAGGGGTGAGCCTTGGAGATGAAAGGGACATTTGTACCTATGAACTAGCAGGTAATTTACTCAAGGTGGGAAATCAGCTTGGTATTCTGAACAACCATTTTGGGGACCAGGGAGAAAAACTGGTGACTTATCAATCAAAATACTTTAAATATCATTGATCATCCAGCCAAGGCTGGATGGAGTTTATCAGAAGGGGTTTTTTTTTCTTTAATTTTTGGAAGATTGCCAGTGTTTGAAGACTGCCTGGCAGAAGTACATGGCAGAAAGCAGGGCTGGAGGAGAGAGAGTGAAGGAACCAGACTAGAAAAAATGGCCACGAGGCTGTTATAGAGCCACAGGCAGGATGGCTTGGAGGGCACAGCATCTTGGGAATGGAAAGGAAGATAGCAAAGAGCAGCTATTCTGAAGGGTAAATTGCTGTTACCTTGAGAAAGCATGACGTTGAAGCTTCCATTAAAACATATATACTAATAAGAAGGAACAAGTTATGAAAACAGGTCTCAAATGAGATGAATATCAGAGTCCGTGCCCTCTTTCTTCCTCCTTTCAACAATAATAGTAGTCAAAATAATCTGACATTTTGTTCCTTCCAGTTGAAGTCATATCCAAACACATGGCTTCTTTTTTTATTTTTCACACTCCAACTACCATCACGAAGGGTCTTTGTTAGGGATCGGCCCCAGCCAGGCACTGTTCTAAGTGTTGACACAGTAACTCCTTTTACCTGACTATGATCCCAGGTCACAGCTGTTATTTATTCTCATTTTACATCTGGAGAAACTGAGGCACAGAGTGGTTTAGTGACTTTCCCAGTAACACCCTACTGGTAAGTAGTAAAGTTGGAATCTGCAGCCGGGCCACCTGGATCCTGAGGTGGCAGGGCTAACATTATACCATCTTGCCTCTCCATTCAAAGAGAAGAAATTGAATGAAATAAGAATTCTTTTTCACTGATTTGGCTTCTTTGCTATCAAATCAGACAGTCAGCCAACTGTGACAGTAAAAGGACCTCTTATGTTGTTGCAGGAAGCCCTGAAACAGACACAGACTCTGGCTGCAGCAGATACACCCTCATGGCCAATGGCACTCAGTGTCCGAGCAGATTGTCTGGAACGACAGTGATCTACACGTGTGAGTTCATCAGCGCCCACGGAGCCAGAGGCAGTAAAGACATAAAAGTGACATTCATCTCTGTGGGTAAGGACTCTTTCACTAGAATTTTTTGCCTTGCACTTCAAACTAAGGGCTGCCAATCAACTGGAAATATCCATGAGCAGTAAAGCAGGGCCTTCCATGGTAGTGAGAGTGTGATTGGGGTCAACCACAGAATGGGATTTCCATCTCTGCCATTTAAATTCTTACGAAGTCTTTAAAAGCAGGAAGGGTAGGGGTAAGAAACAGCAGTTGCAGGGAAGGAACAGCCTGCATTGTACTAGAAAGACAGAAGTAGATGGGAGGTAGGGTTTCACACTCAGTCACTGAATGAGGATAACACCGCTAATTTCCCACTTTTTCCTCCCATAATCCCATTCTCCCTCCCTTGAATTCCAATAGCCTGGCTCACTCCCCACCATCCTTCACCCCCTCTTTCTCTCCCATTTCATCTTTTCCAGAGAGAATGCTGCAGGAAGATTTAAGAGTCTGGTATTTTGTGATTATTTTACAGTCGTAACAAGTGGGTTTTTAAAAAATACTTTAAGTAATTCTAGGCCTCTTAAAAGTATCATTTCTTCTGCTCATATCATAAAGCATTATAACTTCATCCTTATCTGCCAAAGTGGGGCAGACAAACGTGTTTTTCTACCCACCCATCATACAAAAACAAACTATTATATTTAGATAAATCCTCAGTTCCCCTTCCTGAACAATTTGGAGCAAGGACTGAAACATACTTGTTACTCTTGTTTCCTTTTTCTACTATCCTGACTTAGCACTTTTACAAAGATCAAGATTAGATTTATCTGAAACATTATTACTATAGAAAAGTTCAGGGTCTTTTGAGGTATTTGCGGTTTTCTAGAATGAGAGCAGTTATACTCTGCCAGTTTTAACTCAGAGAGTTGTGTTGATTCTGTGGGCTTTTGGCTGTCTCAGGGATATGCTTAGTCTTCACTGAAAACCACCAGTCTGGTAGTTTGATTCTCATCTGGAATCAAGAGAACCAGACTGAGGCTTCCATGCGCCTTTTCCTTTCCACCCTCAGAAACAACTCAGCCTTAGAAAACCATCTCAAGATCCTTATAGCCAGGGAGGGCAACATGAGGGGCATATGAATCCCTTCTCTGTGACTTTGGGGCTGCATCTGAACATTTGAATCCCAACTTCTGGAGGGTACTATGGAAAGCCCTGATTTCTTTTGTTTATGGCTAAGAATAAGATTTCACACTGATTGGAAAAGCTGGCCAGCATCTGTGGGCTCAAGGTGTGACATTGTTCACGTAGAGAAGACAGAGTGAAAGGCATTTTGAAATGACAGCTATGCTCAAAGAGGAGTAGAACGAGAACCAGAGGCAAAACCAGTAGAATGTTCATAGAAGCTTTTATATTTATAAGGGTCTTGTTAACAGTTTCCGTGACTAGTTCCTCATGAACTTACATGGAAATTCTCAGAAATAGGAGTAAATAAGGACATAAATTAGGATGCCTGTACTTCCCAGCCCAGGTATAATTATTTGGGCAGTAAACGCTGTGATCCCTGTACTTAACATGTAATTCCAAAAACCACTCGTCTGCTTGGAAAGCACTGGCTGGGTACTGGACCCAGTGCTAATGCTGGGGATGTGAAGATGCAGATGAGAGGGTCCTACTCTTAAGGGGCTCACATTTTTATGGAGAAGAGATACAGAAGAGAGAAATTAAAATACAGTATGGTATTTTTTGAAGTTATTTTAGAAGAGTAGAGAATGATGTGATTATAAGAACTGAGCCATTGAGTCCCCCTTGAGGTGCCTGGAAAAGGTTGGAGGGGAGTTTGGGTTAAGTCGACACCGTAGTTTACAACCTTTTGCCCTGCTGATCATTAGGAGATAATTCCAGCCACAAAGGGGAAGTGCGCGAGTTCCCAAGGCATGTGATGGAAATGGGTACAGTTCAGAGCACCACCGAGAACAGCCTAGAAACAAGTAAAGCTCCGGAGCAGCAAGGTACCAATCCTGCACTGACCCAACTAGAGTCAGGACAGCCCATGCTTTCTGTCTCTATGTGAAATTTCACTCAGGTGTTGATGTCACCAGAAAGACTAAACATTTTACTTGTTATTGGTTTTCTTTTGTCTGCTTTGTTTGCATTCTTTTAGCCAACCTAAAAATAACCCCGGACCCAATTTCTGTTTCTGAGGGACAAAGCTTTTCTATAAAGTGCATCAGTGATGTGAGTAACTATGATGAGGTGTACTGGAACACTTCTGCTGGAATTAAAATATACAAAAGGTTTTATACCACGAGGAGGTATCCTAATGGAGCAGAGTCGGTGCTGACAGTCAAGACCTCAACCAGGGAGTGGAATGGTGAGTGAAAGCCCAGGTACCCTGGACCCTGATGCCTGGACCCCTGGAAACACACTGTAATCATTACCATCCATGGAGGGCCTGCCCTGGGCCATGCCTGTTCCAGCCACTCTATATGACATATGTACTCACACTAAATGCAACAGCCTTTCGGGGGAAGATGTCACTATTCCCATTTTACAGATGTGCAAAGTGAGCCTAGGTTTCCACAGTTTAAGCTGTAGAGCCAGGATTAGAACTAGTCTCTTTGATTCTAGAGTCTGTGCTTTGCCATTAAGTTAAGAGGATTTTTCTTTTATTGAAGCATAGTTAATTTGCAATGTTGTGTTAGTTTCAAGTGTACAGCAAAGTGATTCAGTTTTACACACACACACACGCACACACACACACACACACATATACTTTTTTAGATTCTTTTCCATTATACGTTATTACAAGATATTGAGTATAGTACCCGTGCTATACAGTAGGTCCTTGCTGTTCATCTATTTTATATACAATAAGTCCCCTACACGTGACCGAGTTCCATTCCGAGAGCGCGTTCGTAAGTCCAGTTTGTTCATAAGTTCCACGAAGTTAAGCCTAGATACCCAACTAACACAATCAGTTATATAGTACAGTACTGTAATAGGTTTAGAATACTTTTCACACCAAAAATACATAAAAAACACAAAAAATAAAGAAAACATTTTTAATCTTACAGTACAGTACCTTGAAAAGTACAGTAGTACAGTACAACAGCTGGCATACAGGGGCAAGTTCCTATCTCTGAAAGTTCACAGCTTAAAGGTTCGTATGTGGGGGACTTACTGTATTAGTGATTTGTATATGTAAATTCCAAACTCTTAAGAGGTTTGTTTTTTTAAAGTATTTTTACCAGACTCTTGTGTTTCACCCAACTGAGGTATAAAAATTCTGCCTAAAGATTTTATATGCCTGGTTCCAAAGGGGGAAAAAACACATTTTTGTTTTCTACTTATCCCTAGACATTGTTTAGGTTGGGAGGAAATGCAAATTCTTGAAAGAAAAGGGAATTTGATAGAATTGCTTCCATAATAGCTGACATTTCTTGAGCTGTTGCTATGTGATAGATATTGTTTTATGTATTTAAGTGTATGAATTAATTTAAAACAATAAACCTAGAGGAGAGTGTTATTATTTATTTATTTTTGTAAACAGTCATTTATTTGGATTCATAGTTTTACAAAGGGAATTCTCTCCCGCCTTGTAGTAGCAGAATGATACAGTCCCATTTAGATTGTTATATAGGTCAGCCTTTTTTAGGGAGATGTTTAAACATATAGTATATAATTTTAAAATGCTGTAAAGTTACCACAAAAATAAAATAACAAAACTACCTAATCATTCTACCTCTCTCTCCATCCTCCCTGCCCCTGTACACCTGGGTCTGGGAGATTTGCCTTATCACTCAAAAAAGTGTCAAGAATAATGGTCACAGCTTAGGTCACATGGGTAAGATTACAGCCAGAGATGAAAAGACCACACATCCATAAGAAGCAGTATCCCAGTCAGGCATCTGAAAGGGCACAGAGGTGGCTCTGTGCAGGCTGAGTAGCCGGCTCTTCAGTGGGGAGATGAGCACCTGCCCTGCCTCCTCTGTGTTCACCACAGACTCATGCAGGGAATATACCAGCCACCTGCTCCTCAGGGAGGGGCACGATGCCAATCATACTGTCTCAACAAGTGGCACCACCTGCTTTATTTACACAAAGGAAATGCTCAATAGTAACAGCATCATCCCATGCCTCCCTCCCACCCAAGATCATTCTCCTGAATGACCTTCTAAAACAGAGGTCTTACATTCCCCTACTCCAATATACTCACCCCCTGAAGATACTTTGTTATATGTCATTTCAAGATACTTCTAGAACCAAACCCTCACAAAGACATTTAGACTTGGTGCCTGGTAACTTGATTACCTTCAGAGTCCCAGGTAAAGAGCAAATCAGGCTGCAGATTTAACTGAGTGGTCCTATCCTGGCACTGAGCCCAAGGGCTGTTAGGGAAGCTGTCCTAAGCCCTGATTCCGGTCATTGGTTACATCTCGGAAAGGAGCTCTAGTGTTGTGGGCAGTGACCCACTGGCCCTGAGAATCCTCTGTGCAAAGCTGACTCCAGGAGTCCTTGTCATTCTTTTTGCTGTCCCAGGAAAACACAGGAATAGGACAAAGGCTTTGCTTCACTGCTTCTTTGTTCGCTCCACTCCAGGAATCGAGAGTGCTATTATTATCTCCATTTCACAGATGAGGAAACTGAGGCCCAGTGAGGTTAAGGAAACTACCTGAGGTTATACATCTAGTAGACAGCAAAGTCAAAGGGAAACAGAGACTGTGTTGCTACAGAGGCCAACTCTTAACTACTCTATTCTAAAGCTTTTCATTCATTATAAGCTTAATCAGTCCAGATCCTATGAGTTCTTTACTTTTTCGTATAAGGCCTAGGCAATATTGTAGAAATAACTACTTATTATCTGGCTGGACTTGGTAGATACAATCAGGAAATGGGAGTCTTTTTCTCCTGTGCTGAACTCACACAGGAGAGTTGCTCTGCCCAACTGCCCTTTCCTACTATCAGGCAATAACTTAGGAAGAGCTGTGGCTGTTCTGGTCACACTGAACTATTAAACAGTCCCAGACTCAGGTGCTAAAAATCATCTAGTCTCATCTAAATCGACTACACTTTTATTTTATATTCAATGTAAATTTCCCCTCCCTCCCAATGGGAATCAGAAAGCGTTTCCTCTCTGTTCTCATTCTACGTGTTTTCCCTCTGGCTAGCAGCTCCTCTGGCTCCCCCAGATTCGGGGCAAGGAGAAGGAATGTCAGGAACATTGAAAGGTCCTACTTAACTGTAGATGCTGTTATAATCGTCCACTGTCCCGACAACAGCTGATCCAATGGTGGTTCATCCTCTGATGGGCTCTGGTGTGAAGTCCCGTAGGAAAAGTTCCTTTCATGAAGCTCAACCCAAGCCCTGTCCACAGTCCGCTCTGCTTCACCAAGCACTGGGCGTGCAGGCAACTCCTGCTGCAGCCTTCTCTTTTCACTCCTGCAAAGTCGGCCCGCTCTCTTCTTTAGACTTTTCTAGGTAAGAGTCAGACATCTAATCTCAGAGTCCACAGACCAAGCTCTCCCAAGAACTCACAGTCAACCTCTCTCCCTCCCTCCCCGCTCCCTCCCCACATTCCTTAGTGGTGCCATGAGGTCCCAGACCAGAGGCACCTACTCCCTTAAAGATGGGGAAAGGGGGCCTCGCAAGACCACAGTGCTCTATTTCCCTCTCACTGGCAACTTTCTTCAAAGAACTCCCCAGCCCAGCACACACCAAAATTCGCATTCCGCCCCCGCTGCAACCCCGATTAAAGAAAGAGCCTTGGAGTAGGTTTTGTGAACCAGATATAGCCAACAGGCTATATGACTCTGGATAAGCCACTTGATTTTATTCGAAAGTAAGTGAATATTTAGGTGGCAATGAGCTAGCGCTTCAAATGCATAGCAAACCCAGGAGGGGAACCTATGGAGCATTTTCTAGTCCAGGGCCCAGGAGCGGGTGCTGTGCCTGTGCCCCAGCTTGACAAGGAAAACCAAGCCTCTTCTCAACTTTCTCAGCAAATGTCTATTTGGAGCGATGACTTCGTTCCATCTCATCTTGGCTTCCTTCCACTCAGGAACCTATCACTGCATATTTCGATACAAGAATTCATACAGTGTCATGGCCAAAGATGTCACCGTCCACCCGCTGCCCCTAAAGCCCAATATCATGGTTGATCCTTTGGAAGCTGCCATTCCATGCACAAGCTCCCGTCACATCAAGTGCTGCATTGAGGAGGACAGAGACTACAAGGTCATTTTCCAAGCTGGTTCCTCGTACTTTCCTGCTGGTAAGATGCCCACTGCTGAATTGTAAGGACACATGATTCCATATATGTCGAGTCTAAAACTTTACTCTTAAAATAGGGGTAAAGAGACAGAGGGATTGCTTCAGAGACATAATATAACAGAGGGAAGCCCATGAAGCTTTATTGCCTTCTATTTTGCTATGTGACCAGTGGCTCACTGGTTTGTGACAAAATCTTGAGAGTTTGTGAGGGTGGAGCCCACTGTTTTTAGTGACAGCTGTTGAAGGTAGTGTTAAGTTACCGTCACAAGCCTTCTACGTGCTCAGTATAGTAGACTCGATATTCTGATCACCCCTCCCTCTATGCTATGAGTCAGCATGCAATAAAAGTATGGCAGGGGCTTCCCTGGTGGCGCAGTGGTCGAGAGTCCGCCTGCCGATGCAGGGGACGTGGGTTCGTGCCCCGGTCTGGGAAGATCCCACATGCCGCGGAGCGGCTGGGCCCGTGAGCCATGGCCGCTGAGCCTGCGCGTCCGGAGCCTGTGCTCCGCAACGGGAGAGGCCACAGCGGTGAGAGGCCCAGGTACAGCAGAAAAAAAAAAAAAAGTATGGCAAAAATCCTTTTAAATGCACAGTTGAGCAGGCAAGAGAGTAAGAGAAATAACCAAGAGTCAAAAACATAGACGAAAAGAAAAATAGAGGTAATGCTTTAGCTAATGCTGGAGTTCCCCTGAGGGCATCTGCCAATATCAGAAACCTCGGAATCTTTTTTTTTTTAATTAATTTATTTATTATTTTTGACTGTGTTGGGTCTTCGTTTCTGTGCGAGGGCTTTCTCTAGTTGCGGCGAGAGGGGGCCACTCTTCATCGCAGTGCGCGGGCCTCTCACTATCGCGGCCTCTCGTTGTGGAGCACAGGCTCCAGACGCGCAGGCTCAGTAGTTGTGGCTCACGGGCCTAGCTGCTCCGCGGCATGTGGGATCTTCCCAGACCAGGGTTCGAACTCGTGTCCCCTGCATCGGCAGGCAGATTCTCAACCACTGTGCCACCAGGGAAGCCCAGAAACCTCAGAATCTTGAATTTGAATTTTAAGGCTCCGAAGTGTATGAAAGAAAAGGCCTTGCTCCCAACGCAGTAACTAAGGCAACCTACCCCATCAGCACAATGTCAGGACCCTCAGACAATGACATGCTCGTAAAAGAAGAAGCTAGAAAAACAAAATTCATCTGCCAGAGTTAAGAGCCTCAGTGCTGGGTGGGCAACAATTTCCCCTGAGATAACTGTCCTGCCTTCATTCAGATTTGGGGCTTGAATTTATACAACCTATGTGGTCCAATAACTCCAAGCTGAGGAGTTATTAACTTAAAGTAGTCCGTTGGTAGCACTCAGTGGTACCTGGCCAAAAAATTTAAATCCTCTCTGGTAGAATGTACCCTCCATCCAGATCCCTCAGGATTCATGTAGATTAAGGTCAACCAAATATGAACTCACAACCACAAATCGTAATGCATGGACACCTTCACGAGGGATTTATAAGCTCATTCATACTTTCAAGAACTGTTCTGTGGGACCTATGCTTAATACAAAACATAACAGTAGGCAATGAAAAGGAGACAAAAGTGGGGCATGTGTATTGATATCTAGAAGGGCATATGTCGTAAAAGAAAATACATAGAGCATTAAATATACAAAATGAGCACTACAGATAGAAAGGACAATGGAAGTTCAGAAAAATGGGGATCCCATAAAGACCGGACAATTTAGAGAAGGCTGCATGGTAGGGGGGATATGAAATCAATCTGGGTACCGAACTATTTAAGCGTTTTAACATTCTGTGTTCAACACGCATGCATTCACTGCTACTTCTAGGCTAGAGGCATTTTGAAAACCACATTAAAATGAATGTGGCACATTCTTGGGAAAAGTTTGGACAAGTTTATCCACATTGGATGATTTTAACAAAATTTGTGCTTTGAATATTAATGCTGTGACTTCATTCTTTCATTGTACCTTAGCAAAAGAAGTTAATGGAAAGCAAGTGTGCTACAAACACCATTTTGTGGCAAACTCAATTTCCTGTCCAGAAAATATGGATGTGTTTTGTCACATTACCAATACCGCTAATAATTCAGTCCGGAGCCCATCTATGAAGCTTCATCTGGTTCCTGGTGAGAGCATTTTAAATTATTTTAAAATGTTATAGTCACGAGCAGGGATTCATGTATTCATTCACTCCCTCATTCATCCATCAATAAATATATGTTAATCACTTTCATGTAGCAAGCCTTGAGCTAAGCATGGGGCTTTAAAAAGAAATAAGCTATGTTTCTTGGCCTCAAGCCTAGGGGAGAGATAAATGTGATTTTAAAATGTTATCACATATAATGTGGTAGATTCTAAACTAGAGACAGTTGTGGGTGGCTAGAAGAGCCTGCCTGGTTTAACTCTGCTAGTGATTAGGTGGGGAGAAATTGATCAAGAAAGCCTTGCAGATGAAGCCATATTTCCGTACGTAAAAAGAATCAGAAACTATGTAAAAAGGGCTACGTAAAAAGAATCAGAAACTGTCTTTCCCATTCTTTGTCATCACTGAGCCAATATCCCCCTAAATACTATTTTCAAGGTAAAAGGTCGTGATTTGTGGAGCCATCTCTGTAATAACCCATACCGAAGAGCTCTCCTCAGTAGCAACCGAGGGGCAAGTGGATAAAGGATGCTCCTGGTCTTGCATCATAAGCGATCCCCTCCCCGCAGAAATCTTCTCTCTAATAGAACCCGTGATGTCTGTAGGATCCATGGCTCCATTACCAAGCTTGTTTGAGTTTACTGAGGGATTTGAAGTCCTTCTCAACATCTGTTGGTATCTGAGCCCTAGACAACAAAGTAGGAAGCAACTTAGAGCTCCCTGTCTCTCTGAGTCACTGTCCTCTGGACCCCACCAAGCACACCTCTTCCAGGGGGCAGCCAAGGTCATTTCTCCACTGTCCTTCCATCTCAGCCTAGACATCATCATGTTTTATTCACTTACCTTTGTTCTGCTCTTCTTTCTTCATACCAAGTCTGATTCCTCCTCTTTTTCCTAATAGAACATTACTTAGGTATTCTAAGATTTTACACAATGGCTAAGAACTCAATTCATGCTAAATTTAAAAGATGATGAGAGGGGGGTTCTGCTCATCAGAGAGTCAGGGTCCCTTGGAGACTAGAGATTCTGCAATAAATGCCATTTTCCCATTCAAGTCTGTCTTGAGTAGAGGTAAAGAAAAGTCATCCTTAAGGGAAACCAGGAAGAATAAATGCTTAGGAATATTGCCCAGAATATCCAGGTCATGGGTGCCTGGAATTCCTACTACTAATTATATCCTTGGATTAAGGTGGTGCTTCTCAAACTTGGCTGCACCCAGAATCACCGGGGAAGCTTAAAAAACTGCTGATGCCTGAATTCCAGCCCAAGAGGTTTTGATCTACTTGGGCTGGAGTGAGCCTGGACATTGGTATTTTCCAAGCTCCTCTGAAGATTCTAATACACCAGAGTTGAGAATCCCTTGGATTAAGTCATTATGTCCCTAAGACCCTTGTTAACCTGCCTATCTTTCATCTGGATGAGTACACATCAAGCTCCCATTATTTTCCATGGCCTAGATTTTACAGGCATCAGAGAGAAGATTCCTGGCGGTCAGAGGTGGGAATGAGGCGTTGAGGAAATAAATTCTGTTAGAAAAAGCCAGCGCAGATTAGAATAGGATTTGCATGGAAAGCCCTAAGGGGCTTTAGAAAATCAGGGGCAAAATAAAGAAATTGGGCAACTCCGAAAAGGTCACTGAAAGGAAAAAAGATGGGTTCAAAGATCAAAGCTCTACCTAAGCCTGACCCTATTTCCACTATCTTTTCTCCTCTTTTCAATTGTCCTTTTTATGTCCATTTTTACAATGCAGGGGAGAACGTCACATGCCAAGATCCTATCATAGGTGTTGGGGAACCCGGAAAAGTCATCCAGAAGCTTTGCCAGTTCTCTAACGTTCCCAGAATCCCTGGGAGCCCCATTGGCGGGATCATAACTTACAGATGTGTGGGCTCCCAGTGGAAGGTCAAGAAAAACAATTGCATCTCTGCCCCAATAAATGCTCTGCTCCGGCTGGCTGAGGTGATTCTTTTTTTTTTTTTTTTTTAGAAGATGTTGGGGGTAGGAGTTTATTAATTTATTTTATTTATTTTTGCTGTGTTGGGTCTTCGTTTCTGTGCGAGGGCTTTCTCTAGTTGCGGCGAGCGGGGGCCGCTCTTCATCGCGGTGCGCGGGCCTCTCACTGTCGCGGCCTCTCTCGTCGCGGAGCACACAGGCTCCGGACGCGCAGGCTCAGCAGCTGTGGCTCACGGGCCTAGCTGCTCCGCGGCATGTGGGATCCTCCCGGACCAGGGCTCGAACCCGTGTCCCCTGCATTAGCAGGCGGACTCTCAACCACTGCGCCACCAGGGAAGCCCCGGGAAGCCCCCTGAGGTGATTCTTAAACACTTGACTCTGAACTCTTGGTGGGGAGATGTGTCTATAGCTGATCCTGTTTCTCAGCACTTAGGAAAATGGGCTTTGAGCTGCTTTGTGTTTCTCTCAAACCTGTACTTATTTAATTCCAAAGAAGATGCAACCCTAGAAATGCTGAATATTTTGCTTGAATCCAGATATGGAGGCAGCGAAATACGTGTTCTGCCCTAGGACCAGCTGTACAGCGTCACCTTGTTAATACCTTGTTTCCATTACCTCCAAGATGGAAGTCGTGTTATCCCTTCTAACTGCTCTCCTTTGAAGAATTTTTATATCAAGCTAATAGCGCTAATCTTTTCAGAAAGGGGAGCAGCACAAAAAGTAAGGTTCATCAGTCAAAAAAAAATAGTTGGGCTTTACGCTTTTACAAGTCTGAGATTTCCTTAATCCTTAGAGGTAACCTATAGTTATAGAAGGGCCTAGCTGACCTCTCTTACCTAGAATAGAGGTTACTGCCATGTGGTAGGAAAAACACGTTTCACTTCATCAAAATAAATATAAATTACCTCTCATACTTAAGCTGCTGAAAGTTCGAGACGCCTAAAATTCCATGAGTTACAATAAATGAGGCAATTAGTAGGGTTATAGCTCGTGGTAACATCTTCAGACCGTGAGCTATATTTGGGGCTAACATCTGGTTAGCTCCAAATCCTCGCATCCTGGGGGGAAGGACTGAGAGAAAAGGATGATATTGGTTTGCATTTTATCTAATTATCTCTTGTCTCACATCAAATTCATTAAAGTACCGACTATGTATAAAGCATTATTATAGGTGCTCTCAGGGTAAAGAGGCCAAATCAAAACTTGACCTCTGATTGGATACGGAATATAGATGTTATATATGTATCAATTGGGGCTAGGATCATCAGGAAGTTCTGCTTGAAAAACTTGGCATCTGAGTTAGACCTTGATGGGTAAAGCATCGGGGATATAAACTATCCCAATTGAGGAAGATAGAAATTATAATTTGAACTCAACATTGGGCCCTGGTCCCAATTCTAGATACTACATACCCTTTCAATGGAAAGGGGGCATGCTGACCTATCATGCTCCGTCTAATTTATCCATTCAACATATGTTATTGAATACCTACTACATACGAAGTTAAATGACTATGTTAGGGATTATGAGATATGAGAAGGATATAAAGAAATGCAACACATGGTTCCCATTGTTACGGAGCTTATCATTTAACGGGAGAGAGATTGAAATTAAAACACAGGATGACATTGGTAGAGATGTCACAAATGTAAATTCCGTTAAGTAAAACAAATACTTCTGCATTCAGAGGAAGAAACTCCCCTGGGTTAGAGCACTCATCAGAGTTCTTCATGGAGAAGACCAACTTTTAGTTCATTCTTTAATTATAGTGAGGAGTCAGATAGTTAGAAAACACAAATGTGATCATTATAGATAAGGTGACCATATAATTTATCATCTAAACCAGGATACTTTTTGCTTTTTGGTTTTTTTGTTTGTGTGTGTGTGTGTGTGTTTGTTTTATTGAAGTATAGTTAATTTACAATGTTGTGTTAGGGAAAAGAATCTAAAAAAGAATATTTTCCGTTATAAGTTATTACAAAATATTGAGTATAGTTCCCTGTGCTACACAGTAGGTCCTTGTTGGTCCTAATTTTCCCTCCCCCCGTTTCCCCTTTGATAAAAACCTTAAGTTTGATTTCTATGTATATGGGTCTATTTCTGTTTTGTATATAAGTTCATTTGTATCATTTTTGAAAATAAAAGAGGGCACTATTTATAATTACACTGGGACATCAGATATAAACCAGAACTGTCCCAGGAAATTTGGAATAGAAACCCCAGAGTGGCAAATGTGCTTTCATACAGACAATCAAGTGACAATTTCATGCAACTTTAATCTAGTTCTCTAGCAATCATATCTACTTCCCTTCCTTTTTCTTTTCAACTAGTCATCAGGTTGACATATGCTCTACCGTTCCCCTTCTATGTGTGAGGTCTCATGTAATATTCCATTCTGAAGAGCAAGCACAGTTTAAGAGATAAGTACATTACCTTATGGGATATACTTATGAGAATGGAGGAATCAAAAAGGAAACTCAGATGTGAGAGATTTTTGTCATGGCTGTATCAGCAGTATTTGATGACTGATGGGCAAGTTTTTTGTTTTTTTTTCTGTGTCGGCTTTTGTTTTACTAGGCTTTGATGAAGAGCCCCTCTCAGGATGAGAAGCTCCCTTCATACCTAAAGAATCTTTCCATTAGCACAAACCACATGAAACTTGAAGCCAACTCATTTCCTGGGAGCCTGGGAGCCATTATTAACATCCTTGATTTGCTCTCAACAGTTCCAACCCAAGTGAATTCAGAAATGATGATGGTGAGTTTGCTTAAGCCTTGCAGGAGTTTGGGGTCTTGTCTTTTCATCCCTCAGGACTTGGGGTCAAGAAACATAACTTCTCTCCATTGCCACTTCTCTGTCTTTTCCCGAGCAACGCTTTGCCAGCTCTGGCTTTTAGCATATCAGTGAATATTTTCAGTGTACATTTTGGGATCTTAAAGATTTCTTTAGAGAAGGTCTGTTTTAGTTTCTTCATTAAAAGAGAATGAATTCTTACCTGCTTTCTAAGAAAACTAGGAATGAAAGGTTTTCAGAATATGTACAAGGCAGGATTCTCAATGGTCTCTCACAAAACATGATCTTTGAAGCAATCAGCATTCTGAGAGGAAAGAGAATTCACCCACCAGAGTTCACATGAAGAGACTTTAATGAAGGGATACTTACAGAGGTAAAACCAGGAATTAAAAACAAAAAAACAAAAAAACGTGTAAGGCACCCAGAGACCAGCTACATTTAGAAGCCCTTACTACCCTGAGGATTAATGTGGAAAGGAGAGGAAATAGTGCACCCATAGCGTTGGAGGAGGGATCACTGAGCAGGAACTACAGTATTGGAAGTATGTAACTATCACCAACGGTGTGCTGAGAGTGAAATGAAGGTGCAGCAGGTAGCAGGAAAAATATATCTCAGCTTCTTTCTTCTCTCACCCTCTCATCTCCTACCGATGCTTCTCATTGGCCAAACGCAACCAGAGGTAACTGGCAAGCAGCTTGGGTACCAGGAGTCTAAGGAGCTTATACAGATTTCCTACGGCTGCTGTAACAAACTTCATACTAACCTCTGGCTTTGTCTTCACATGACCTTCTCTTCTCCATTTACTTTCTCCTCTTCTGTCTCTCATAAGGATACTTGGACTTAGGGCCCATTTAGGTAATCCAGGTTGATTTTTCTCTCAAGATCCTTAATTACATCTACAAAGACGCTTTCTCCAAATAAGGTTTTCTCCAAATAAGGGCCACCATTCAACTAACTGCAGGGTTCATCATTTCAGAGAACAGAACAAGGCAAAGAAGGGCAGAGAGAAAAGGCCACTTCTCTCCATGGAGAGAAGCCACAAATGACAATTCCAGGTTTATGGGAGAGAGAATCAAAATGTTGAGCTAAAAAGAAAGATGCCTTTCACAATACTCGCATGGCGTATTTGATGCTCAGCGTTTGAGAGGGTCTTCCGAGAATACCTCACACTTTCTGGTGAGATACCACCCACCCAAAAGCCTTTACAGGCTTGAGATTTAAAATAAAATAAAACAATTAATAAATATCTCTGTCAGCCTGCTGAGTCGACCTTAGTGAGAGGTGGGGGCAGTTCTCACCGTCACGACTGCTAAATGTTTAGTAAGTCTCGCAGTTGTGAGGACCCGTCTCCTGCTAATTCCCTCCATAAGAAGGTGGATCAGAGTCCTCCACAGCCTGCGATGCTGCATTGTTCTCTTCTGTTTTCTTCTTCCCTGTACCCACTTAACCAGTTTCCAGGGAGATGTTCTCTTTTTCTCTCTTATGATTGAAAACATTCGGTTGGTTTGATCCCGTGCCTTGTCAATTACAGCACGTCCTCTCCACGGTCAACGTCATCCTCGGCAAACCCGTTTTGAATACCTGGATGATGTCACAAGAGCAAAAGACCAATCAGAGCTCACAGTTACTGGATTCAGTGGAAAGATTTTCCCGAGCCTTGCGGTCAGAAGATAGCACCATCTCCCAACCTAATGTTCAGATGAAGAGCATGGTCATAAAATCTGGCCACCCCAAATCCTACACACAGAGCTTTGTTTTCTTAGACTCTGACCTCTGGGGCAATGTGACCATTAATGAATGCCAGCTGGAACACCTGCAACCAGATTCATTTATCGTCACCGTGGCTTTCCCAACTCTCAAAACCATCCTCGCCCAGGATGTTCCAGGAAAGACTTTTGCAAACAGCTTAGTAATGACAACCACTGTCAGCCACAATATAACCACGCCATTCAGGATTTCGATGACTTTCAAAAACAACAACCCTTCGGGCGGGGTACCGAGGTGTGTCTTCTGGAACTTCAACCTCGCCAACCACACAGGGGGGTGGGACAGCAGTGGGTGTTATGTTGAAGAAGTCACCGAGGACAGTGTGTCCTGCAGCTGTGACCACCTCACATCATTCTCCATCCTCATGTCCCCTGATTCCCCAGACCCTGATTCTCTCCTGAAAATACTACTGGATATCATTTCCTACATCGGGCTGTGCTTTTCCATCTTGAGCTTGGCAGCCTGCCTCGCTGTGGAAGCCGTGGTGTGGAAATCGGTCACCAAGAACCGGACTTCCTCCATGCGTCACATCTGCATCGTGAACATTACGGCCTCCCTCCTGGTCGCCGACGTCTGGTTCATCGTGGCGGCCGCCATCCGCAACTACCACTACCCACTCAACCAGACGGCGTGTGTGGCTGCCACCTTCTTTGTCCACTTCTCCTACCTCAGCGTCTTCTTCTGGATGCTGACTCTGGGCCTCATCCTCTTCTACCGCTTGGTTTTCATCCTGCATGACATGAGCAAGTCCATTCAGAAGGCCATTGCGTTTTCTCTCGGCTACGGTTGCCCTCTGGTCATCTCCGTCATCACGGTGGGGGCCACCCAGCCCCGGGAGGTCTACACGAGGAAAAATGCCTGTTGGCTCAACTGGGAGGATACCAAGGCCCTGCTGGCCTTCGTTATCCCAGCACTGATCATTGTGGTGGTCAACGTGACCATCACGGTCGTGGTCATCACCAAGATCCTGAGACCTTCCATCGGGGACAAGCCGAGCAAGCAGGAAAAAAGCAGCCTGTTCCAGATCACCAAGAGCATCGGGGTCCTCACACCGCTCTTGGGGCTCACCTGGGGTTTCGGTCTCGCCACCGTGTTCCAGGGGAGCAATGCTGTCTTCCATATTGTATTTACCCTCCTCAATGCCTTCCAGGTACGTTCTGCAGGGCAGCGCTCTCAGGAAGGATCTATAATGATAGAAACACAAACAGGGGTAGGAACGGGGAAGGACTTTTGTTCATAGGAGGCCCTAGCCCTAAAGAACGGTAATGACAAGAACTCAGTGAAATAGAAAGGGCGCATTCCTCTGCTCCCATGGAACCGCATGCCTCTTATCACCTGCATTATAATTTAGTTGCATGTGCACCTCTCTTCTAAATGCCCTGATAATACAAATAGGAGGAAAGTTCCTTCCCTACACTGGATTCTGCTATTTATTTAACATTATCTTGATGCCGTTTATTATCTCCTAAATGAAAATACCACCATTAAACCAAACAATCTCTCCAGTTAATTTCCACAAGCATTAAATGAGCTCTGCCTTGGTGAGGTCAGCGGCAGCATCTGTCTTATTTATCAGTACATCCCTAGTGCCTGCAAAGACCTTGGCACAGACTAGATGCTCAGTAACCATTTGGCAAATGAAATGAAGGCTCTGTACCACATAGTGGGTTCTCAGGAAACATTTTTCTGAAGGATGAAAGAATGAATGCTCTATGTAAGGCAGACATTTTGCTCCATTATGTGAAAATGAAAAAGACATTCTCTTTGCTCTCCAGCAGCACGTAGCTATAATACAAGCCACATTGTTAGGTGGGCTTTAGCAGAGGTACAGACAACAAGCCTTTGGAACACAAGGAAGGGGATGCTTAATCCTGATTCAACCAGTAGATCAGTGGTAGGCCTAGGTCCCCATGAGCTGGTGAGGATCCAGGGCATCTGGAGGTGATGCCGAGACATTGCCCTAGATGCTAATGCCAAGACCATGCAAATCCTAACTTCTGCTACTGGGCCCATGTCTCCAAACTCTAAGGCTCATGTCTAGTGATGTTTATAATATGCCTTGACTAGAATGGACTGATTATTCCACCTCATGCCCTATGTTCTCATCACAACTACATGAGGGCTACTGTAGACATAAGAGGTAGTTTAATAACATAACCAGCAGGATCTCCAGCGCACAGTTGGGTGGAAATAGGGAAATTGAAAATATCCTTATGACATTATAACTTCAAAGGTCCCTTGGTGTGGACCTACTACATTGTCATCTACTGGACCATAGATGCAGATGTGGAAAGAGGTGGTACAAATTCTACGGCAGGTGAACAATACTTCCTAGTTTGCTGGACTAGAATATGATTAATATCATTAATATCATTAATAATTAGAATATAATTAATATCATTAATAATTATATTATGATTAATATTATTAATATGATTAAAATGCACTTCTTCCCAATTCTTTTTTCAGGGATTATTCATTTTACTCTTCGGATGCCTCTGGGATCAGAAGGTAAGAACAGTGACAGTCATGATTCTAGAAAAGTCTAAATTGCAGTGACATGTTGAGTTGACAATGGCTTCTTTTAAATGATGCAGGTACAGGAAGCCTTGCTGAATAAGTTTTCACTGTCGAGATGGTCTTCACAGCACTCAAAGGTAAATACTTCCTTTGTAGACATTTACACAAACCCCTCTCTCTCCACTACCAATTATAACATAGATTATTCCACTGTATTTTCTTCTTACCTGATTCTGCCTATTAAGCATAGTCAGAACAGAACTAGCATTAAGATGCTGTCCCCACATCTTTAAATAGAGGTTACAAATAGCACAGATAATATCAACTGGAGGTTAAAACCAAATTTCAATGAAAAGCACTCTTCTGGGGAAACTCAAGGCCATAAAGAACAACATTTGAAGAATAATGATGAATAGAATTTCCTGTAGTTCATCTTGGAAAATAACTATTGCACTTAAATATATTTGTTTTCCTATGTCAGAAGATAATAAACCCTATCAAACAGTAAAAAATGTATTTGGAAGCTATTTCCCTACTACTGGTGGTGACGTTACAGTGTTTCAAAAGGTGGCTCCCCTGCTTAATTTGTCTGAAATAGAAATTCATGCTCATCCAGGTTCTCTCCTTAAAGTGAAATGAAAGATGCAGTCAATGACCACTAGCAGGCAGCAAACGAATCATCCTACAGATCAAAACTGGGCCTTGGTCTAACACGTTTGCTTTGTAATTCTTTTTTTCTTTTCTAGTCAACATCCCTAGGTTCATCTACTCCTGTATTTTCTATGAGTTCTCCAATATCAAGAAGATTTAACAATTTGTTTGGTAAAACAGGTACGTGCTGACCTCTAGATGTTTCCTGGGTTGACCTAAACATATTTGCCCTGGGGGGAATCTCACACCCCTACTGTCCCACTGCCCACTTCATGGCATTGACCCATAATGGCCTTATTTGGGGCAGAGCTTAAATACTTGCTTATATTTTTCCCAAACAACCAAGGGGTTGGTACAGAGGGCAGTTGCCTTCAACCTGTGGAGAGCTCTCCATAAAAACTGTACCCACCATAAAACTGGGAACTGTAAATTGCTGGCCTGGTCAAACACGGAGTTCTCTTCTATTCCTGTTATATAAGAATAGGTAGGTCATGTTTATGGGTTACAGGGCAGCGAAGAATATATTTAGAGAATCCTACCATAGGATCCCATGCTGTGAGTTTCATTTCCCTTTTTTTTCCCTTTTCTTTTTTTGGAGTGTGCTGCTTTTACACATCGACATTTATAAAACTGTGCATACATATGAGGGATCACCCAACTTAGCTGTTCTATTAGGGGCATGGCGCAGTGAACATTCCTCCTTGTAGACATAAGATAAAGAATGTTAATGACTTTGGGCAGTGGGTCTCAGCTATTCTGGCAAGCTGAAACTCCTGTCCCATGTCACCACCACCTCCTCCCCTTAGGAAAATAGGCACCAGACTTCCTTTCAGCGCCTCAAAACTGAACAAATCTCACAAATGAAGAAATGTATCAAAAGCCTTCCTGACTAAGTCATATAAAGCAATTTTGAGAATGCCTATTAATTATTGAAACTCCAGAGAACTTGGTGTTTTGAGCTGCATTTTGATGCATTACTCATGAAACTGGAGGGCCTTCACTTTTGATTGGACCTGTTGTGAAATGATCAAATCTCCAGGGTATGTTAGAACTATTCCCTTTGGCCAGCACTGTCCCTGGATCATGTTTACCGTTTGCATTAAAGCAAGAACAGTGAAAACTCTATGAAACGATTCCACAGAATCAGAATTATGCAATATGTAAGGTCAATAAAATGTGTTCATTGTTTCTAAGCCAGTCAGATCAAGAGTTGGGGTCCTGTTCCCGAGGTCCCGGGGCCTGAGAGCCCCGGCCATTGCCACTTAGCCTTTCAGGGTCATTAATGCAGATCCAGGTTGGCCTATTTGAGGGTTCCATAATCACTGTAACTTTGGTTTGTGTTGTCAGCAGCGACAAAGGGCCCCCCACGCAATGATGGAAACCTTGTTAGCCGTGGCAGTCCGCCCATCTGATGGTAGGGTGGGCACTGTGTGGCTTCCCCTGCCCAACACACAGCCCCTACTGTCCCCGTGTTCAGTCCCCACCCCCCCGCTGACACGAGCCTGTGCAGTAGCTCGCGGGCCACCCGCCCTGCTACACTCATCCTCAGCACTTTTGTTGGCATTCTCTGACTCCTGCTGCTTTTTCCGTCCTGCCTTTTCTTCTGTAATTTTCTCTTTTCTTTCCTTTTCTCCCTTTCCCCAGCTCAGCCCCCAGGCCCCTCCCAAGAGCTTCCCAAAGTCACACCAACCCAAAGGGGCCAGGGATATTCCCTCCCACGCATGCCCCCAGGCCAGTGCATGTGGTGGCATGCAGAGGGCTGCCCCTGTCACGATCTCCCTGTCTTTTGTAGAAATCTGGCTGCTGGTATGATGTGAAATAGTTAGTGCTTGTCTTGTCGGCCGCCACGCATGCTTGAGAACAGCTTTGTTTGTTCTCCAGGACTTCTGGGTCTGGGGAGGAGGGCAGGCATGTGTTCCTATCCAGGCATGGCCTGAGCTTACCTGGCTCCTGGAGTAGAGCGCCCCCTGGTCCATTAGCAGAGGTTCACACGCCAGTAATCATGAAGACTTGGCCTTCAGCTGAGCTGCTGTTCTGTTTTTCAGGAACATACAATGTCTCCACCCCGGAAATAACCAGCTCATCCCTGGAAAACACATCCAGTGCTTATTCATTGCTCAACTAAGAACAGGAGAATCCAGCCCATGGAACCTCTTGGGGAACAGTGGACGTTCTCTGAAAAAGAGATCCTTTCCAAGCCATGGATAAAATGTTTTCTCCGCAGGCTTCAGGGAACAGATGCTGAAGAGACTTTTTCATTAGGGAAGGGGCTTTCTTTTGTAAATACAGACTAAAAGGAATTGTTACATTTATGTTGCAGCCCTACACCCACCCCTTGTGTGATACCGAATGTGTATAGTATTTAAGTGAAACTCAAGCCAACTTCTCTGTCTATATTGTAAAATAGAATTTCAGAGACATTTTTACTTTTCACACCCTGGGCCCAAAGATAAGCTTTGATTAAAATAATAAGTGAAAGGCTAGGACCTAGGAAATACTTCAGTGAATTCTAGGAAGGAAGGAAGGAAGGAAGGCAAGAAGAAAGGAAGAAAGAAGGGAGAGATGGAGGAAACTAGAAGGAAAAGAAAAAAATAGAGAACAACATAAGGACCATATTTTAAGATTTCCATGTTAATGACCTAATACAATTGCTTCTCAGGTGCTGCAACACTGAAAATTCAAAAATGACTCCAAAATGGAAATTGAAAATTAGCCATGGAGAAACTTCAATATCTTCCTGGTGTTTCCTTAGTTAAGAGGGACCAAAAAAAACAAAAGCAATGAAAAAATTATGGAGGAAATTATATCAAAGATGCTTTCAAGTGGATGATAATATTTACAAGAAATTCATGGAAGAAGACATGATTCTTCTGATGCTAAACACATACATATATGCTACTGTATGTTAAGGTTGGAGCTAAGTGGAATGAATAGACAGAGAAAGTGTGAATGACCATGCCTTATTAGATCACAGCAGACCAACTGCTGATTACACTTTTATAGTTTAGCAGAAAAGGCTTATGTTTTGCTTTGTTCCACTTTTTGAAAGCAAAAAATATATATTTTTATATCCATTCATTTCCAAATGTGATATATTGCACTGAAATACCAGAACCCCCCTCTACTGTCATATATTTAACAGCTTTAACCAGGTACTTTTCTGTGCATGATAGAATAGATTTTAATGAACTTACAGCATTGTATATTATTATTGTTGTAGTTACTGTGGATTTAGGGGCCCTGGGTGTGTTGTATAGCTCTCTATGTATTAATTCTTTCAGTTCCTAAGTTCCTAGACCAATATACATTAAGAGTTTTCTACTGTCTAATTTGTGTTTATTTCAACCACCTGGAAATCTTCTAGAAAGAAATTTTACAACCAGCTAGTCTGTGCTTCTGATGACACTTTACCTTGATGAACAGATGGTGAAGATTGTTTGTGAATTATGTGCATGTGTGTATTTTGCTTGTGTGTGTACACTTCATAAAAATACAAAGATTAAAATAGCATCCTTATCAAAGTTAACCATGTAATGCCGCGGAGCAACTAAGCCCACATGCCACAACTACTGAAGCCTGTGTGCCTACAGCCCGTGCTCCACAACAAGAGAAGCCACGACAATGAGAAGCCCGCGCACCGCAATGAGGAGTAGCCCCCGCTCGCCACAACTAGAGAAAGCCCGTACACAGCAACAAAGACCCAACGCAGCCAAAATAAATTAATTAATTTTAAAAAAAATGTTAACCATGTACTGTAGCCACAGCAACCATACATTCCAAATCAAAGTCGGATCCCAGGGAGACAATGAAACAGAATAAAAATGTGGGGCTTCTCTGAAATGTGGGTTGTGTGGTCTTCATAAGGACAAATTTAAACGGGTCCAACCACCAGGAAGAAAGACCAAAAGAGTCTGAGATTCAGCAACCATTTATTTATTGAGGTTCGAAAGAGTATTCTGCAAATGTTTTAACTCTTTAAAATCTCTTCCGTTTATTTTAAATTTTGAATTCTATTTTCATCTCTCTTTTCTTTATGGAGAGGGGGAGGTGAGACAGAAGTCCTAATGTTTCAAGGAAATAAACTCTTTTTTCATACCTATTCACAAGGACGCAGACATCTACGCCCACATTTGCCTGCAAATTGTCACATCATTATCCCAGCTGAATAGTTCATTATTTAAAGTCCCTAAAGGAAATGATTGTCAAGCTTAACATTTTTCAGGGAATGATCAACTTTGGGCAGAGTTTGGTACTTAGAAGACAGACCCAGAGGTTAGGAGGATGAACTGAATTAGATTTAGCTATTAGGGAAA